GCTTAGTTCAAGAATCAAGCCGTTTGTGACTTCGATCGACTTTGCCCGATCTGAAAAATCTCTCATTTCCAAAAGATCTTGCCGCTCGACTCCAATGCTATCACATATTGGTCCAACAAAATTAAAATTGACATCTGATTCCAGGAAGACCAGCCTTGCATCATATCCAAGACTCAGTGTTGTGGCAATGCCTCTTCCAATCAAACGGCGAAAATCTGCTGACTGATGTGCGGGGAAGATCCTCTTGAGCCAATCCACAATGGCGATCCACGGAAAATTATTGTCCTCTCTCAAAAGTCCTACTTGGATCATAAATCTGTTCTTGCAGGGGCCCTTTTCAAGCTCTAATTCTTCTCCTGATTGAGGACCAATGAAGTCCGCAACGAGCTTCCAGTAGTATTCATCTCCTGAAAAATAGAAATCAAAGTAATCAGAAATGTAAACCTTTACGAAGAGGTAAGGCTTTTTAAATGACCTGGTATTAGGTAGGGCTGCACGATTTTGCATAAAATGAGAATCACGATTTTTTGGCTTAGAATTGAGATCACGATTCTCTCACGATTTTCTTTTCCAGTATAAATATTTATTGCACTTATTAACTGCACATCAACTTCGTAACAGTTGAGACTGAACATAAAAACAATAAATAAACATAAAAACAACAAATGTCTCACATTTTGTTGTTGCCGCAAAATGTACTACTGCAAATTCCGTCTCCACCGTTGCTCGACACTGCGTGTATAGAGCAGGTAGTGCAACAATAGAAAAATAGTTGCGGGACGGCACTGTGTAGCGTTTGTCTAGGGTGTTGATCATTTTCCTAAATCCCTCGTTTTGCACAGTGTTGATGGAAGCCATATCTTTGGTCAGGTGATAAGTAATAGCCTCCGTAATTTCTTTGTGCCTGCGGGAGTTCGATGGTTATGGGGAAGCGCTGTATAAGGTTCCCGTTATTGATGTTTGGGTGGTTGACCGGGACGGATTTTCTCCTGTCACTTTCTCGTCATCCCTGACGTGCTCGCCGTTGTTTTTCCCTGCTAATTTTAGCATCACACGGCACAGCTTCTGTATCATGTGGTATAAGGCTCCGCCCTTGTCATTTGTTGAGCAGGAAGAGTGAGCGCTTGTTTTCATACAGATTATGTCCCGGATCAAAATGCGGTACAATCGTCGTCGTCATCTTTTTTTCTTTTTTCTTTTTTAATCGTTGTCATTTGGAAATGAGATCGCACATAAGTATGAATCGAGATCGCGATTTTCTAACGATTAATCGTGCAGCCCTAGTATTAGGCACAGTCACTATGTGAAGGTTTATCAGCAAAAGTGACTTAAATACAAGCTTTACTAAGTAGCTGTTTACTTGCAATGCATTCAGACTTACTTAGATTGGCTTCAGTCACAGCTGCTTTCCCACAAAGAGAAAAATCTTGACCATCCTCCATTGTATGCTGTTTTAAAAGAGACAGAGATGAAATTCTTCAGTCCTCAGTCTACAGAAGACGACGCTTTCAAGACAAAAACTGGATGGATAATGCATGACAAATCAGCATGATTAAGATCTGACAGACCAAACAAAATAACAGTGGACGAGAACGTTTCCCTGCTTTTACAATGAAAAATTTGTCCTAAATTTGTATGAAGATGAATGACTGAAACTAAACAGTTAAAACTGTAGCTGATATTTCAAAATGTTATGATCTTAATAATAATTATTTACGTTTTTCTTGCACATTTTTTATCTTCCCCTACTAAAACCCATAAAGAGTAATAGTTCTAATACATCACAGTGAGAAAAAGTGCATCATGGCACAAACAACAAGTAACAACCATTTCCTTATCGCATCATGTCATTTTATTTTATGTTTTGTATTTTCATAAAATGTCTTGGATCCAGGCCATGTCAAATTTCTCTGAAAAAAATCACATTAGTGTTAAAAATTTCAGGTCCCTACTGTCATTAGTTTTCATCTTTTCAGAGGGAATTTGAAATTTCACTATCTGGAAAACTACTTGAGCACGGCCCTTCGAATATTTAGGGTACTATGGCTCAACACCACTACCTTCATCCATTAAAATGCTTTTTTCAGAAAACTGTTATTTCAGAATGGACCTGAAATTTGACATAACTCTCATAAAGATGAAAATATTTGGCCTGAGTTTTTTCAGACAAATGTGAGACTTTGCTTTAAGCATCTGCAAAGAAACAACACTGACACTCTGTATTCCCTAAAAAAGAAAACAAGTTGTTTATATTTTATTCTCATTATAATAAAATTTTATGTTACTAAATTGAATCTTTTCAGTTAATCAATCAGACTGATTACTAACAATCTGACTTTCAAACAAAAAACACATTAAATTCTTTGTTTTTACAAAATTACATTTTCACACAGAGAAACAGTTTACTTTTCACTTGTAAGAACTGCATATATCAGCAACTACATTTCTAATATGTCTGTATTTTATCAAGCATATGCCCAGTTCATGTGTTCATCTGTGATTCAATCCACCATCTCTTTGTATGTTGTCTCAACCAGACGTTCCTGTAATTTTTAAAGTGGTTTTCAACACTAACAGGCTTTCTGAAGCTCTTTCAAAGTGTTTCTTTGGACACTGGGAGCGTTTTCATCCATTTCTGTACCACCTTCAGAGTATTTTTGTTTTCAAGCCATTTAGCTTAATTATTGAATTATTTGAGTATAAAAACAAACCTAAGTGAAGCGATGACAGCATGTTTATACATATCAGACTACTTATTAGCAGCCTGTCACAAAACATATTATGTGTTGTCATTTAGTTTTAGTTTGTTTGAGCTTATGAAAAATGACAATGATAGCACAGTCTGACAGACATATAATAGTATTTTTGGATGAACAAGGTGATTCCAAAAGAGCTGTTGTCCAAACATATATGCTGAGATATAGTACATCTCAGCATGGTGTGCGTTGTGTCTTTAATAAATCTGAGGAAGCTGGATCTTGTCAAAACTGATAGAATGCACACAGATTTTTACCACAATGCGATACAATTTGGAAAGCATCTGATTGGCTACAACTTCATTTTTCAGCATGACAATGATCCCTGTCAATGTAGTAAAAGCACACCTGGATAGAAAAGCACACAACTGAACACTATCAGTCACAGGCTGACCTCAACATCACTGAAGCAGTGTGGGATGATATTGGCAGAGAACGGAAAAAAGAGCAAGCAACTTCGAAAGAAAACCTTTGAATGCCCTTCAAGAAGCCTGGAGAAGATTTCTTAAAGAAATGACAATAAAGCATGTCTAAAACAATCAAGGCTGCATTGAAGAATATAGATGGTCCTATCAAACATTGACTTTCAAACTTGTTAGAATTGTAGAAACTCAGTTTTTACCTTGTATATTACATTTCCACATATGTTTACATATGTTACAGTGATTTGTTGTACCCATTACCCATTTTTCTAAATATAGCTGGTACTAGTAAAAAATGTAAAGTTACAAAACTGTGTGACATATATTCTAACTAGTTAAAATTCCAAAACGACATATTCATAGTTTAATTTTTACTTCTCAAATAACATTTAATGATCTACAGTAAACACTGTTTTCAGGAGCAACATAAGTGATCATCATAATTATTTTTAACTGATTAAAAATTAATTAAAGAGAACTACAACTAGTCTAAAGTAGGTAACAAACATGTAAATTATAAAATAAAAATATTAAATATAAATGCCTGCAATGGTGTTTGACTACATGTCAGTTATAAGTTTTTGAATAGCTATTAAAGTTATGCAAAGACAAAGTTATTAATAACATGTTGAAAAATAAAAAAGATCTCTGGGTATCTAATTATAGATGTTACTTATCAAAGTGAATTTCTAAAAAGTTGGTCTGTAATTATAACTAGTCAAAATATAGATGAATAAATAAAATTACCATATCTATGGCTGTTAAATACTACAGGGGTGCATGTCATAGATGATCAAAAGTACAAAACAACAACTAAACATTCTGCAGAAATAATATATTTAAGTGCACTTGTATGACGAACATGTACATCACATACTAATTTATCTTGTGAGAGGGGCTAAGCTATGTAAAGAATCCTTATTGGATACTATGTGTGTTTTATTATCAGTAAACATGCATAATTAATCCCTAACATGTATAAATACATCGAAATATGTGACTATTCCTGTGATTTAATGGCGTTATAAGCAGGTTTTTCGGAAAAAAAGGATTGTAGCTACATCTCTAAGTGAATGCTAATGCTGGACTAAATCTACATGCTAATGCTAGCCTTCTGAGCAACATGCTACTATTAGCACCCATTTTACTAGCACAAAACTAAGCATGCAAAAGTGCAATAATCCGTGATTAATACCTGAGCAGAAAGATGTGCTGGGTTCTGTAGCGTTCCCAAATAATTTGAACTATATGCGCTGTAAATTTATGATTTAGTAGTACAAGTTCTTACCCAGAAACAAAAAACACCAGGCGCCTGGGACACGCTCCCTCTCAGAATACACCATGAAGGGGTGGAGACCGTGCGCTGCAACGATTGGCTGGTTTTACAGAAGGCGGGCATTTGTCGAGGTCTCAACGAATCATTGCTGCGAAACGGCCGTGAAGCCCACAGAAGAAGAAACTGGGAACGACAGATTTCCAACTTTAACTGTGTTGTTGGTTAACGTGTTATCCTATAGGATGTTAGTTTTCATTGAAAAGACTGCACTTTTATATAATTATTGTTAAATTGCTTGTTTCTATGCAAATGAATGATTTTAAATTTTTATTTATTTTTTCATAATGAGTAGGTGGATTTTTTTAAATGCTCTCAGTTTTGTGGGAAATGCAACTCTAAAAGTAAATAAATGATTTAAAGTTTTTTTTTAAATATATATTTATATTTAGTCTGCGTGGAATTGCAGCTGAATGTGTTATAACAACGGTAATATTTTGTTACTTGAAGACATTTAATAAAGTTTTTTGTTAAAAAAAAAAATACCAACAATGCGAAGTGCATTATGGGTCCACTTATTGCAGTTGTCTTCGTGATCTAGCGGCAGGTAATGTAAAACAGCAATTTATGAATGTATTGTTTAAAAAGCATTTCTGTTAATAACATTTGTTTAATTATCGACAGGCTCTGATAATGCTTACTGCCGCCGTCGCAATGATTTCCATTCCGTATTTTGTCATATTGTGCTCCAGGGCGATTTGTGGGAACTAGCTCAGTTAACTGGTGCTATGTAGCGTTAGCCAACTCTCTAAACGATGGCTAGGTAGGTAAGAGCTTAGTAATAATAAAATGTTAATATATTGTGTTTGATCGTCATTTCTCGTGCTTCACATATAGTCGTCGGTAGAGGCGTTTTCTGTTTGCAAACAATGAACATGCGCGCGCAGTTTTGAAGTGGAAAACGGCTTGTTAGCAAACGTGAGCAACAAATTTCTGTTAATATGGCTCATATCGTTACATAAAACGAATCAACAAAACTACAAATGCATTCAGTAAAATCCACCTTAGCCTCTTTCAGGATGCAGTTACTGTACCCCACATTGAAACCCCAAACAATAGAAAACAGGGACAAATGAAATAAATTACAGTTCTGCAGCGCAATATTGGATCCTTGGCTTCATGTGGCTGTAACAACTCGGCATTGTTATAGATGTGGTCATCATTGTGATATTTGCAGAGGACAATGTGAGATGTAGTGAAGGTAGGTAGAAGGTGTAAGTGAGTTTGGAGAGGTGGAGGTATGCTCTTAAGAGAAATGAAAGTCAGCAGAAGCTAGACATATCCACGTTTGTGAATGAGATGGAGACTGGTGTGATAGAGAAGTTGCAAGGTATAGAGTTAGTGAAGTTAGTGTTAGTTTAAATACCTGGGGTCAGTCATCCTAAGGACAGTGCACAAAAGAGATGAAGAAGATGGAGTGGGTGGAGATGGGGTGATTTGTGACAGAAGCATAGCAGCAAGACTTAAATAGAAGGTTTACAAGATGGTAGTGAGACCTGCTAGGATTTATGGTTTGAAGATGTTGGAGCTGAAGGTGTTAGAGTTGGAAGATTTTCTTTGGAAGGGACTAGGATGGATATCAGAGGGACAGTCATTTGGAGAACACGTTTGATAGGCAAAGCTAAAAATGGTTTGGGCATGTGCAGCGGAGGGATAGTGAATATATTTTACAAGGGATGCTGAATATGGAAATGCCAGACAGGAGGAAGACTGCAGAGGAGATCCATGGATGCATTGAAGGAGGACATACAGAAGGGTGGGTGTGACAGATGATGGTAGGGAGAGGGTGAGATGGAGGCAGATGGAAGCAGGTAAAGAAGGTGACTAACATAAATAGCAACTTTCTAGATGTTTGGTCATACCACAGTAGATTTTTGTATTTATATGTTATCCCAGCTTTAACTATCATTTATTGGCTTTGAATATTTCAGCTTGTGTAGAATTAATTAAAAAATCAGAAAAAAAGCCTGTTAATGTTCACTATTCACAATACCACGTTTTGACTTACGGGCCTGTATAACAAACTTTCACTGGCCTCTACAATATTTTTAATGACCCAAAGAAGCCAATTTAATTGTTTTCAATACTGGAAGCTCTATCTTTAATAATGTAGTATAAAATAATAGTAGACTTATATTTTATAAAGTTACATCTCCCAAATAAATGGTAGCTAAAGCTGTAAAATAATTGTCATGTATAACATTATCTACCCCTCTTTCCCTGCAGGAACCACAGCTGTTAGCCTTCGGCTATAAAATCTGCCTTTTTTAATGATCATTTCAAACTGAATAAACAGACTGCATACAGACAGCTCTGCTTTATTTAGTCGCACTTTGCAAATACTACCTGCATGAAAAAAAATACTAATTTGTCGGTTCATTTTTGGCCACTAGTTATTTTGAACCCTGCAGCTGTAATTTGCTTACCCTTTGTTATCAAAATACATCAAACGTCTTAGTTTAAAAACAGATGTCTGTAGTCTAAGTAAAGTTTACAGATGGAGCAGTATGTCACAAAAATGTATCCTCTGCAGAGGAAAACAACACATTTTCACACCAAATCTATTCCCCCATCTACTGACACACACCAAGCTCTTCAAGAAAGACTTTTATCAACAAACCTGTTCAACTCTGAGCATGCCAACTGTGTAGTTATTCGAACTTTTACTTTAGTGAGATTACCTATTGTGAATAGTTACAAGTGTTCTGTGTATAAAAACTCCTCGTTACGTATTTGCAGAAACAGACCTGGTGCAGGATGTTTTGCATCTGTACAGCTGAGTGGGAATTTTGTGTCTAAATATTGGGAGTTCTGAACAATCAATTCTTAAGCAATCTGATATTTTATGTGCAGTCTACAATATGCAAATAGGGAAGTCAATTTAAAGTCATGTTGATACATCCTCGTTCACTTTATCTAACCATAATTTAGACGTGACTTTTACAGTTTTGTTTTTGTTGCCACTTTTCTCACTTCACTATGTGTGTTTTGTTTTACCCCCAGTGGAGATCAGATTACTCTCACAGACTTATCTTGATCTGCTTCTCATTCCAGACATTACCACCTATGAGACTATCATGCTGATAACTGGTTTTCCTGGATTTAATCTCACTGTAAACTCAAGATAGCAGCAACTATGGATGCATCTAAAGCAGAAGCCTCAACACAGAATCAGGGAAAAGAGGAAGGTGCATCATCAGCTCAAGGAGATGCTGGAGCAAGACCAAAAAAGGCATCTTTGAAAAGAGCTGCAGATGCCAAAGCAAAAAAGAAGCACAAAAAGGCTCGAGTGTCCAGACCTGCCCGGCCTGGTTATACTGTCCATCAAGGGGAAGATATGCTTCTCGTTATATCGAGTTCCACCTCCCAGTATGACGGGTCAGTGTGGACTCTTAAGAAAAAGAAGGGGAGCAAAAAGAAGAAGTTGGCAAAAGGAAAAGGAAAAGCCAGTCAGGTCAAGAAAAAGAAGCCAGTCAATGCCAAGCCCAAACTGGAAAGTAAACCAGTTAAAGAAAAAGAAGAAAAAGTCGCAAATTTGTTTATAACTCAGGAAGAAGACGACCACAGATGGGGCCACAGCCTGCCTGAGGAGGTGCTAATTAATATTTTTCAGATTGTGGTCATTCAAGAGGGAGCAGTGCCCTTTTTATGCAGGTATTGTGTCGCACATGTGATTTATTTGTAATTACACCTATGAGATTAAGACTGAAATGTTGCATACACTATTTTAATCAAAATCATTTCATGCAAGCTAATCATCTTTCACTTACTTCAATACCTTGGATATCAATCTCATAACTTAAAGTCTGAATCTCTCTACATAACCTTTATTATTATTATTATTAAGACTGTAAGTTATTTAACTTTATGGATAAACATTAAGAAAACCCTTCAAGGAAATTTCTTTACATGTTTGTTTTGTGCGATTGAACAGTTTAACGCATTCACATTACTATGATAGAACAAGGAGATACTCACATTTAAAAAGCTGTGTTGGATATGCATTTTTCAGCTCTACTTTGGGAAGTAAAAGTTAATGAATCCATCTTCTTCCATTTAATTCAATTCACAAATGATGACTTGTGATGAGGCTGGAGGCTATCCCAGCTGTCATTCATAGGGTCAGAGGCAGGGCACACTCTGGAAGTGTCAATAGTGTGTCACTGGGCTAACATATACAGACACTCAGTGTGAGGAAGCCAGCATACCGACCCAGAGAACCTTCTTCAGGTCAAGTGACAGTCCTAAGCACCGCACCATTTAATTCTTCCTGGTGTTTTCGGTGCAGGGTGGGGAGAGTTTGTCGTCTGTGGAACGCCGCTGCCTCCAGTCCGATCCTGTGGCACAGAGTGACTGTCGGTCACTGCTGGATTGCACCAGGGAGGAGCCAACTACCAAAAACTCAGAAGAAGATTAAGGACACTTTGGACTGGCTGGCACACAGCAGGTTTGTACTTTATTTAGCTTTTTGCTTAAGTCTTAATCATGTAAATGAATTCTAAACTGTGTTGTTTTCTAGATTCTCTCAGCTGCGAGACTTTTCTCTGTGTCACTGGACAAAGAACGTTGATTATGCATTAGAGGTAAGTCATCGAGAATTAAACATTATTTGAAAGACCTTCTCATCTGAAATGATTAGTACATTCATACACATACAAATCCACAAACAAGCTCTCCTCACACAAGTTCAAAGAAAAGAACATAAAAATCATTTCTTAATGTATTTTTAAAAATACAGTAATAGTCAAGACTTACGTTTTCTTGGCAACTGTTTTGATAATCATTGATAATTTTTCTTTGTTGGTAATAATTTGATTTCAGCTTCTCAAGCTTAGAGAGTCTAAAGTTAAAGAATATTTCTGGTGTTTGTTGGAGGCAATTTGAAGTAACTCCCTTTTATATTTTACAGTGAACATATTGATGACAACCTGTAGTGAAAAATGAACTAAGATGTCCATTATTAAATATAATCTGATCCCATAAGCCCCGTATCCCAATAGGATATTGTTTTTGTCCAGAGAGTATTTTTGATTTTCCAGCATATTGATTACATTACATTAAAAAAAACACACTGGTTGCGAATATTTTCTTCCTAGCCTGACAAGACCAGGCAAAATTTAACAAGCCTGAATACAAAATAAGTCTTAAACTGAGAAACTCCCCTTCACACACTGGTGTTTGTTCATTTTGGATCCTGTTCATACATAAATTACAGTTCACTTAAAAACAATATATAAAGGAATAAATGTTTTATTAAAATTGTGGTTTATCTGTATTATTTAATACTTAGTATGTGGCTTTTTTTGAAATCATCATCAGGTTGTGTCGCAGTACTGCCCTGATCTTTGCTCCCTCAAGCTTTCTTACTGCACAGGAGTGACAGCGGCGGCCTTCCGCAGCCTCGGTCTGCACAGCCGCTCCCTGCACAGCTTAAATCTCCAGTATTCAGAGGTATGTGGACCTGTGTAGAGATTTTCTAATAGAAGCCATGCAAAGATCTTTCACTGTGTAATGAAGTTACACAGTGCAATGAATGTGCAGTGTTTTACAGTACAGGGAAAGTTTCTCTATGCTTGCTCTAAATTTAAAGTGTAACTTTGAGGGTTTGTCAAGAATTTAATGTTAAGCACTTTAAACAAGATAAGCAGATATTTATGATGAAAAATATCTCAACTGTTTTTACTTGTCTTATATTAACTATATGAGCTTTAAGGGTATTTTCCCAATGCAGATTATCATTTATTTTATTCATAAGAAACTTCATCCACTTTATATAGGTGATATATCATAAGGAGAGCTTTTTTCATCCAGGCATGATTGCATGTAGAGAATTTGCAGGATAACTTGCTTTTGCTGTAGTTCCAGGTTGAAGGACTCCTTGAGTATCTTGAAAACCATGGGAGCCAGATCAGGCAAATATTGTTCAGTCATGGACTAAAGAATGACAGACTTCTGGCTGCAATCACTGTAAGACTTTTCTCTCTTTGTTTGTGAAACACGTGCTACACAAAGTCAGTGCTACTGGACAAATGAGCTTAATAAATGCATAGCATTGCTTTTTGTTTTTCCAGCGGGGATGCTGTCCCGATTTGGAGATGCTGGAGGTCAACACCAAGCTTGACAGTAAAGACTGCCAGCTTCCTGTTTGCATCCAGGCACTACAGATGGCATGCCCTAAGCTCAAGGTAAAACAAAGGTCTTCTCTGTTTTAGTGTGACTACATTAGCTTTTATACATTAAAGTTTAAACTCTTAATTAAGAAGATGAAGAAAAGCAGGCGTTTTATTAATTGTTGATTGATTGTTTATTGTTAATATTTAAATTCCAGCTTTTCAAAGACTTTTTGGATCTCTTGGTTCTTGACTGCTGGTTGAAAAAACAAGGTGGATTTGAAAATATCGTTATGAACCCTGGTTTTATATAATTTTATTTTTTAATTTTTAATTTTAAATGCTACAGAACAGTTATTTAAGTGAGCATGTTCTGCACAATTCCTGCTCCACCTTTTATTCTTGGACTCTAGTAGAATGACTTTATTTCATTGACAGTCTAAAGTAGTTCTTATTCCTCTTATACTTGGCTACTGTGCAGCATGTATGTGACAGAAAATAAGGAAACGCCCAAGTAGCACTAAAGCCAGTAGCTGTAATTTCTTATCTACTGGCACAGTTTGCACTTTGCTAAAGGTTACTCGTTCTCCCGTGACGCTTACGTACTGCTTCCCATCAGACCTTCCGAATGATGAACGTCCAACCTCTTCATAAGGGAATGCGTTTTGGTATCGACCCAACATCAGGCTTCCCATTACTGGAGGAGCTTTGTATCGCAACCACATCGTTTTCCTATTTGACCGACAGAGATTTGAGGGACATTCTCTTCGATTCCCCCAAACTGCGAGTGCTGGACCTGCGAGGCTGTTCTCGAATCACAGCGTCTGGTCTTGCAGCTTTACCCTGTCTAGGTATGTTTGTCAGGAAAATAATGCTTTTTGCTTTATGCCACCAATACCGAGCAGCTCAGTTTGGCTTTTTCAGAATGAATCTATGATGACCTGGAAGTCGGAGTCAGGACAGTTTAGTACAGTTTGTACACAAAATGTGTCTGAATTATTTGAAGGCTTCACATTTTAAAACCATTTCAAACATTTATCTGCTTTATTTTACTGTCTTGTATTTGGCAGAGCTTGAATGTTTGTTCTGGGGACAATATTTCAGCAGCCATGTTGGGCTGTCATCGCTTAAGAAAGGACTTCACACGTTGACCCAAAAATGGAGTCGAACTTTGCAACAGCTGGACATTGCACATCAGCTCTTCACTGAGGAAGACTTGGAGTTAGCAATGAGTTACCTTTGTCAAGCTGAGGCAGACACACTGCGCTCACTGAACTTGAGTGGGACCAGAATTACACCACGTGCACTCAGGTAGTTGTTTTGTACTTACCTCAGTAGTGCCGCAAATCCAAAATAACCTCTTTATTAGACAAAGTGCAACCAAAAAGAACTGAGAATTAATCAGCCGTTCCCATTCACGTCTGTGCTTTGTTTTGCAGGCCAGTCATTGGACAAATGACTGCTCTAGACTACCTCAACCTTTCATCCTGCCGCTATCTCCCAAGAGGTGTAAAGAGGATTTATCGTGGCCAAGAAGACATCCGGCAGCTGCTGGACAAATTGGAATAGCTCTCACATTCATGTGGTTCCAGAAATGAGAAACCAAGTTTACAAGGCAGACTTGAATATCTTAATGCAGGCCTCGCTGTGGGTTATATTGTCTAATCGATGTGAATATTTTGCCCTCAGGACTTTTTTGATAGACATTTTTTCTGTCTGTTGTTGGTACGAAATTGACATTTCTGTGTTTGAATGCAAGAAGCAGTAGTTTGCAAACCTGTTACTACTGCATTAATGTCAGGTGGGGGGTTTTGTTTTTTGTTTTGACAATAACCAACACACAATGCGTGACACCTAGTACTGTATATAGATCATTTTATTTGTAAAACTAAATATTCATTTGTGTGTATCTTTTTTTTTTAAATGTGATTTCTGATTTTTTTTTATTTTTTTTTAAAATCAAAAATAAATGTTTAACATGTCACAAGAGAATCAGGGTTGTATTGGTCTTTATTTCCACTAGAGAGTGCTGTCCTGTCAGTATAAATTTACATTTGTCATCTTAAGGGACTGGTCATACTGGATTCATACCTTGCTTGTAGCAACATGTTTAAGAATAGCAAATACATGTAAACACATGAATGGATCTAAGTGCCTATATGATTTTTCCAATAATGTAAACATGGTCAAAGGAGAGTGTTTGATAATAAAAGACACAATATAGTATTCACTTGTTTAATGGGCCAAATAACAGAATAAACAAAAACAAGGGCAAAAAAAGTATTTTAAATGTACCCACATTCAATTTTTGCCCAAATTTGAAACAGCACTACCCATTTAGGTTAATTAAACTTGGGTCTGTCTTGACTCAACTACTTCCATGAGTGTAAAAGAAACAGAGTCATATATCCCACAACAACATGAAAAATGGTAAACCATAAAAACAGCATTAAAAATTCAACATTTTAAAAAGCAAAGACATAAAGAGACTTAAGACCTCTTTACTATGTATATTGATTTATATAAAGCTGGGATTTTCAGCTTTACTAGGTGCAAATTAAATGTAAATGCTGAATTTTGGTTACAATAGTGGTTGTAAGCACAGTCTTTGGTTTATGTCTCTCAATTAAAAATGTATTAATTCCATTGTGTATGTCAGTTCTATGACCACTTTCTACAATAAAAACAATTGTTCCATTTTCTTTGGTAATCATAAATGGGTTTTTTTTCTTTAAAAAAAAACATATATGCATTTATTACACTTCCAAAATTGTACAATAAAAGCAAATAGGCAAAGGTCTTTTGTAATCAATCTCCTGGTTCATATTTTAGTAATGATAATATTGCAGTATATTGTCTTCACATGTTAAGTACAACTTCTAAAGTATCTTTTTTTTAGTTCAGAAAGAAGCTTTTTTTATGCTATATTCAGTTATTAAAGAAGCGAATTGCTGTTCACTTCTGTAGTGGGAATAAACTGAGGCCTGTAATGGGATCTGTAATACACCTCTCAACCAGATGGAGGTATGTGAGGTTCTCCTTAGTGTTGGGGTCAAAGAAGCCCTTGGTGTCATCATCAGGATCCGATAAAATCTGGTTCATTTCTTCATCAAAGTAACCTCTTTCATATGCCACTTGTACAGGCACTCTG